GGATGAGGTCAGTAAAATTTTAACCCCTAAGAAAAAAAGATCAAAGTGCCGACACAAAACACCCCTCAGAAATTTGTAAATTTTCCCCTTACCCCTCAGAAAAATCGCAGAGATCAAAGGATGCCGACAGGCTTAACCCCTCAGAAACGACTTTTTGAGTCACCCTTCAGAAAAACTCATCCGTAGGGGGGGTGTGGACATTAAATGGAATGGCCCTGAGCCAGTGAGCCTGAGGGCAGCTCGACTAGTCACAAATTATTCTGAAAATTTGCTGTGGACTCACTGGACTGTAGAAAAGTAAAAAAGTTTACAAAACACGCCATTATTATGGAATTATAGACCATAGTGGAAAGTTGGGCACTTTAACGGGAGATCTCCTGCGGCAGGCAAAGGTTGAAAACTGCTGATGCGGGTCATGCGGCAAAATCTTGCGGCAGAAAAACTGTAAAGTTGACAAGGGTGGGTAGTAGTGAAGTAGTTGTAGTTCACTACTGTTCACTACAGTAGTTTTTGACTACTTTATTAAAACAGTAGCTGTAGTTATAGCGAACTACATTTTGCCTAAAAGTAGCCAAGTAGTTGACTACTTTTCAAACAGCAAATCGCTATTCGCTACTTTTTAAAATTGTTAGCAACTTGATAGAATAGCATGATATTAAGACATGGTTTGCTTAAAATCAATACTCAATAGTCAATTTGCACTCTTGAACACTGTATATAGTGCTTACAAAAATGTTGCTCTGTGTTTACTGTTGCCACTTGTAAGTTGATTTGTTATAGGTTACATTTCAGCCTGAGTTAGTAGATGCTCCAAATACAGTAAAACTAAAAAATATAGCGTAGCGAAATAGCGAAATAGTTTGCTACATTTTTTAAGCAGTAGCTGTAGTCAGTAGCGAACTACCTTTGTTCAAAAGTAGCAGTAGTTGTAGCTGACTACATATTTTTGAAGTAGCTGTAGTTATAGCGAACTACAAAAATTTTGTAGTCAACCCACCCTTGAAAATTGATAGTGCGGCAGAATTCTGCGGCAGAAATAGTTTAGAAAATACCTGCGGCACAATTTGGGTGACACATCCGTGGTGTGTTGCAGGGCTCGAAACTTGAAATTTTTGTCAGTATCCAAGTGGATACCACCATGATAGAATCTAGTATCCATCCTTGAAATATAGTAACCCAGATTTGGATACTAGATATTCTATTTCCAGTAACTAAGCAAGGCAAAATTTTACCTTGCAACCAGGCCTTCAGTTGCTGAGCAAAAACCAGGCCTTTAGTTTCAATAATAAAAAATATGTATTGAAATTCGAAAAAATTGAAAATAACACACTGCGGCGATACGAAAGAAAGCACGAAGTGAAATTTTTTTTTAAATATTCTGCCAAAATCCGTAGACATTGACGTTCGGAAACATGCCAAACGTCTAGATTATTATCTACAGTACTATCGCAATTTCTAAGTTTTCCTAGTATCCAGTTAGGATACTGAGCTTATGATACCCAGTATCCAAAATTAAAATCTGATATCCTGTGGATATCGGGATACCGCAAGTTTCGAGCCCTGTGTTGTATCAACACATCTTAAGATGTATTCATTATTCGACAAAAAAGCTGTGTTGATTTTAATAGCACGTCTTTTTTTAAGAGTGAAGGCTTCAGAGGGGAAAAAAAATGTTTACTGTTTAGTGGTAAGCGGTATTGCATGTAGTCTTGAATTTTTTACCTGCGGCAGCATATTTTTGGCATTGCAGCAGGATAGAATACATGGTCTTGTCAACTGCGGCAGTCTCCTGCGGCAGCCAAAGCATACTTTCCACTATGGATTATAGAGAATCCTGGTCTATTAGAGAATCCTGGTCTACCGGACAAGGAAGTTGATCATTTTTTCTGTGCACCATTGGTTTGTCTAACCAGCCAAAAATTTGTGCACCACCGAATTTTTCACTTCCTTAAATATCGTGCCGATTGCCAAAGGCACGAGACGATCTCCAAAGACGCAAGATACCTGGGGGGAGGCTGCAGGAGCATGCACTCCCGAAAAATTTTTAAATTTAAAGTCTCAGAAATGCCATTTCCTGGACTTTGGCAGAAGATTTACACAATTCAGTTGGTAAGAAAACAACATTATAAAATCCAAAAAGTCAATTTTTTCTTGGAAAGTCAATTTTTCTCGTAAAGTAAAGCCTTCGAAATATTATTCAACCCAAAGTTTCTAGTGGTCAGCAGTATGTAAGCATACTTCATTTAGTTTACGTTATATTGGATCCTGGGTCCATAGATCAAAAGGGAATATATTGTCCAAAGCGGCAAAGCCTACCCCACTCAGGTCTACACATTCCAGATACTTTCCAGGAATAAGTTTTACTAACTTTTGCTGTTAAATCTAGGGGTGCACCGGATTTGGAATTTTCAAATCCGGCCGGAACTGGATTTACCGGATTTGGACAAAAATTCTGGCCGGATTTGCCGGATTTGAGATAAACCGGTAATGGGGACAATTGGGGATAAATCAGTATTCAAAATGACGGTTTATGTTTTTTACTATTTTTAGTTAGTGTCAGTTTAGATTTTTGATTGTGTTTAAACCTTTTTTAAACATCTTTTTGTTAATAACTTAATATTTTATAATAATATAAGTGGTTTTTTTAAACTTTAAAGCTGCCAAATTGATGGTTTATCCCATTCTTGGTGAATTTTTTTAAGGTGAAAACAGAAATTTAAATCCGGCCGGATTTTCTCCAAATCTGGCCGGAAGCCGGATGCAGGAAAATTCGTTAAATCCGGCCGGAATTCCGGCCGTATTTGAAATCCGGTGCACTCCTAGTTAAATCTATTTGACAAATTAATATTCTGAATCCTCAATTATGCACCAGTGCGCCACCCTTTCTTAACTTGTTATGTGTGCACCAGATGTGCATAACAGATTACTATTGTAAAATTTTGTGCACCAGATTGTGCACCGTACATGTCCGGTGCACAACACTTACATTGATTCCATACTGGCATATAGGCTTTAATAATATAGCAGAGTGCCAGAGTAAAAGCATATAAATACTATTACGGTTCGCAGCCCATATTAGCCTGCGCGCAGGCTAAGCCCATATAGGCTTTAATATAGCAGAGTGCCAGAGTAAAAGCATATAAATACTACAGCATACTATTACATGTTTTTGTCTTTCTGAATTAGTCAATCAGGAAGCTTATGTACGAGTCAAATCCAACCGCGATCAGCCCCCCCCCCCCGGGCAACCCCAGGGCATTTGACTTAACATTACCGCCGTATAGGCGGGAATTTGACGGCCCGGTCGGGCATTTGATGGTCCCGTCGGGCATTTGACCACTTGACAACAACTTGCTCAGCAGTTTTCCCTAAAAATATGTGTACACTCTAGCGTTCAGGAGTTTTCTATTTTACGTCTTTTCGATAGTTTAAAAATTGCTTCTGAATCACAAATATCAATCATAGATATATGATACAATATGCCCGTTTGAACAAAAAGAAGAACTGTCTGGCCTATTTTTCGTTCTTTTTAATCTTGAAATTTAATTTTGGCCAAA